ATCTAGCTTGAATGTCTGGCAGTTGTTCCCTGTTGATGTACTGTTGTAACATTTTAGAATTATTTTCAGCAAAATATTACTTGTATGTGATATTAATGATATTGTTTGATAATTTCTACATTCTGTTGGATCACCTTTCTTGGCAATGGGTACAAATATGGATATCCTCTCTTTGGTTGGCCAAGAACTGTCTTCCACATTTCTTGATATAGACAGGTCGAGCACTTCCAGTGTTGCATCTGTTTGTTGAAACATCTCAATTGGTATTTCATCTGCTCCTGAAGCCTTGTTTTTCATCAATGACTTCAGTGCAGCTTGGACTTCTTCTTTCAGTACCATTAATTCTTGAACATATGCTACCTCCTTAAGTGGTTGAATGTTGACCCCTCTCTCTTTTATTTATTTTTTTTGGGGGTAAAATGGTTCTGTGTACTCCCCCCATCTTCTTTTGATGCCTCCTTTGACCTTCAATATGTTACTCAACCTCCAGTATTACAATTCAAGGCTTGAATTTTTTCTTCTCTCTACCACCATAGATATCTCTAAAATTAGCAACATGATATATGTATCTCTTCATCATGACAATTTATTTCAGATACACAGACACTTATATGTACTGTGTTTTAATTTCTGGGTTGTACAATGACTGCCTATCCATGATGTCCTTAATCAAAGCTTTTTTTTTTTTTTTTTTTTTTTTAGAGACAGTTCAATTCTGAGAACTTGACACAGACTTTATGTGTTATGTAAATATTCAGAATGTAACACATTTTATAAGACTTATAATGACTTAAATATACTACTACAGTAACAGAAGTTATAGAGCAGTTATCCAAACTCAAGGCTTGTCCATATATTAATACACTGAACATTAATTTTCAGCACATGTAATTTTGTACACATTGAGCTCAAAATTAGTCTCTTTTTCTGCCGCTCCCTGAAACACAGAATCCTTTTTTCCTTTTATATTCCCCCTTTTTGTTCCTTTGTTCTCTATTTCACCTCATTCTCTCCTCTCAACTTTCTATCAGTTCCTGACTCTGTGTTATGACATTTGCACTGAGAACAGTGACCGGGTTGCCTTCTGTTTGGGCTGAGACACGTTTACCAAGAACTAAACCCGGACACAGCCAAGAATGACTCTTAGGTAACCCATCTGAAACTTCGTTTGCTGTTTTTCTGCTCTCCCTTCCAAATAAGTTGAGCTTTGCCTTTGGTGATACAAGGGACCAAGTGTAAATCTTGACATAGCTTCTCAGTGTTTTATACACAAGACACATAATCCACTATTCTAGATTCATCTACTTACATAACAGACATTCATGACATGTTACAGTTCCACATACATCAGTTTCTCTTACATAGTCTCAATTAGTATTAGAAGCCTCATGGCAAGGTGCCGTTGGTGAGGGGGCTTTGACATCAGTTTCATATTGACAAATAGGGAAGGTTATGTCTGAGAACATTTCTGCTGTCAATTTAATTTAATAGTTTTGCCAGATCTCAAGTGTAAAGTCCCATTTGTTAAACATTTACTCTAAATTTCAAAGTGTGTCATTGTGTAAGAAGGAATTTGATCTTGCCCAAAGAAAAATCTGCCCTTTGCCTATGGTCCTAGGTGGTACCCTTGAAGCCATTGTAACTTTCCAAGTGATAGAAATGTCTTTGTTTTTATATTGGCCCCCTTGTAACACTTGATAGTGTATGCTAATGAGCTGACTTGGTGTGGGGCCAGCCATACCCAATAACTTTAGAGTAGAGCTGGCCATGTCAGAAAGATCAACCATATGATTTAGAGTAAGGGCTTTGGGTCATGTGGTATTAATCACCTAGAGACTGAGCATGTGAGCAATAGATCAATCAGCCATGCCTACATAACTAAGTCTCAATAAAAACTCTAAATACCAAAGCTCCAGTGAGCTTTCTGGGTTGGCATACTCCATGTATATTTTTACAAGTTAGTCTTGAGATGGTAACCCACCTCTGAGGAGAATAGAAGCTTCATGTTAGAACGCTCCAAGACTCTGCCCTATGTTTCTTCCTCTCTTTGTTTATTGTTTTGTTTTTACTTTTTACGGTGATTTCAGTGAAAGTTTACAGAGCAAGTTGGTTTTCCATTCAGCAAACCATACACAGTTTGTTTTGTGACATTAATTGCAATCCCCACAGTGTAACAGCACTTTTCCCACTTCCTCCTTGTTTCCGTTTCCATTCATCCTCCTTCCTGTCCCTTCTACCTTCCGCGCATTATCCCTGAGCACACGCTGCCCTTTTGATCTCTGTGGTTGATTTTTCTAAGGTGTGCATACCTCATTGTTATTGTTCACCTTATAGACTTGTTTATCATTTGGCTGAAAGTTGAGCAATGGGGGTAAATTCAGTCCCGGGATTGAAGGTATCTAAGGATCATAGTCTTGAGGTTCCTACCAATCTCTATCAGACCAGTAAACCTGATGTCTTTTATGATTTTGAGTTTAGTTCCACGTTTTTCTCCCACTCTCTCTGGGACCTACTATTGTGATCTCTTTCAAAGTGGTCAGCAGTGGTAGCTGGGCACCATCTAGTCTTTATGGTCTTAGGGTCATGGAAGCTGTGGTTCATGTGGTCTATTAGTTCTTTGGACCAATTGTTTCCTATGTCTTTGATTTTCTTTCGTCTTCTTTGCTCCAGACAGGGAGAGACAAATAGTTGTACATTAGATGGGTACTCACAAGCTTTTAAGACTCCAGCCACTACTCACCAAAGGAGGATGTAGAACATTGTCTTTGTGGATTATGATATGTCAATTGACCTTGGTGTCCCCTGAGATTAAGTTCTTTGAGCCCCTGAGCCCCTATGCACAGCAACTCATTCTCTCAAGGTGTTTTGTTATGGCTAAGAAGTTTTCATAGCTTTCAAACATATACTTTGCTCTACTGTCTACATGGATATATTTACAACACATGCAAATACATATGTAGAAATATCATGTGCCAAGCCTATATATGGTCTTGGGTCTAGTCCCCTTTGCTTACCTAGGCCTGTTCAACTTGCCAGTCTGCCTGTGGATCCACTCATAGATTGTTGTTTATTATTTCTAATAGTGTAGGATTGCATATGTAATAGAATTCACCTTTGTTGTCTGTAACTCTTGTGCACCTCTCTGTGTCTTCTTTTTCCTTGCTGATAATTGTACCGATCACTCCTTTATTGTATATTGCCTTTCCCTTCACCCAAATTAATACTTATCTATTTGGCATAGTGCCTACGGCATTTGACTGCTAACCAGAAGGCTGGAGGAGATCAAAGCCACCAGCCACTCCTTGGAAGGAAGATTGAGCAGTCTACTTCCGTAGAGATACTGCCTGGGAAACCCAAGGAGGGGTTGCTATGAGTCAAATGGACTCAACAGCAGTGAGTTCGTTTTTCTATTGTTACTATTGTTATTATCTACTTATCCATTTTCCTTCCCTTTCCCTCCCATCCCTAGTAACCATCAAAGAATGTTTCTGTGTGTAAATTTTTCCTTGACTTTTTTTACTAGTGGACTTATACAACATTTGTCTTTTTGTGATTACTTATTCCATTCAGCATAATGTCCTCCAGAGTTATCCACGTTATGAGATGTTTTGGAGATTCTTCATTATTCCTTAATGTTATGTAGTATTCCATTATGTGTATATAACATAGTTTGTTCATCCATGTGCAGTGCAGTGAATTGCTTAATATGGCCCTTCTAGCCACAGCCCTCCATTTTGTGATGTCTTGTAAATCCTAGCATAATGCCTAAAGCATTTGATTGTTAACCAGAAAGCTGGCATTTCAAACCCAACAGCCATTCATCAGAAGGAAGACTGGGCAATCTACTTACATAGAGCTACTGCCCTGGAAACCCAAGGAGGGGTCACTATAAGTCGGAACTGACTTCACAGTGGTGAGTTTGGTTTTTGGTATTCTTGTTTAGGGTGGGATGTATCTTGAGTCCTGCCTTGCTGGAAGGTGTGACTCAAGGCACCATTTTTAGTTTCCTTGAGGGTCTTTGTGTGAAGGCTTGGGCCAAGTTTGCTCTCTCTTGCTCTGGATCCTGCGTTTGGTTTGTCATCATCTCACCCCTGGATGAGACAGCAACCAGTCATCTGACCTGCTGATCTGGGTTCTCCAGCCCTTGCAACCATGTGACTGAGGAGAACCTTCCAGACCTGCACTTGACCCAC